AACTACTTCAATATCCTTACATGTGAACACAAACACTTCACTTTTCTTTGCAAAACTTTTTCGCATGGAATATTAAAGGGTGGAGAGAAGAGAAGTGCGGGTGGGACACGAGTGGGTGGTTGGGTGTGTGTGTGTGTTGAAGGGAGGCTCTCTCCCCAACTTTACAGAAATGTTAATGGATCATGAAAAGTTCATTTGCTGGCGTTACAAATACAATTGCCAGTGATAAATGTGAGTGTGTGTGTGTGTGAGTATGTGTGTCTGATTTTAAGTAAAAAGTTTTCACAATCATGCAAATGAATGCAAAGGAGTGTGTCCATGTAAGTGTGTGTGTGAGTCGAATATACTTTGACCAGACAGTTTGAAGCTTTTTAATTTGAATTTGTTGTTTACACTCTTACTTTTATGTGCAGTTGTCGTTGTTGTTGTTGACAGTCAGTCAGTCGTCTTCACTTCATTTCCCGTTGTGAGTGACTGGAAAATATTCATTGATTTTGCAACTGTGTATGTGTGCGTGTGTGTGTTTATGTGAGTTAGTATCTGTGTAAAATGTTTTCCTGTCACAGCCAAAGGATCATTTTCTAGTGTCCACCCTAACTAAGCATTACTGGGCCCTACTCGACGAGACCATTTAACACCACAACTGGATATTTTTGTTGTCGTTGCTGCTGCTGCTGCTGCTACCGTTGTTGTTGTTGTCGTTGTTTTGTTTGATTTCATTTTTCAATTCCTTTACATTTCACAAGAGGCCAAAAGCCCAATTTATGACATGCTACTACTCTCTATTAATTCTACTCGGGATATTCGTGCATGAATATGCATACTTTGCTTGCCTGCCTCTACAATTGTACACAAATACAGGCATATATAGCTACATACTGGGTGTGTGTGTGTGTGTGTGTGTGTACATATGTATGTCCATATGACATACAAATTCATAAATGAGTGAGGGAGCGAGTGTATGCCTACACACAAATTCAGCCCATCCATATCATCAAAATGGCCAACTAATGTAGGGGCCAGGCGGGGTAGATGGTGGGTGTACAAAACATCGACTAATGGCCTACCATGAAGTACGACATGCCATGCCAAACAATCCGAAAAAATGAAAAAAAGATAGCGAAACGAAAAAAATGCTTGCCTCAATTAGTTCCATTGTCCTCAGCATGTTGTTCACTGAAGGGGAATATAAGTTAAGGAGGGATTCTCTCGTTAAAAGTTACACTCAACGAAATTTTCTAGGGTCAGACAAATATAAGGGGGTTCTGTAAAGGGTCGACATATTAGATGGTAAAAATGGAGGGATCTTCAGGAAAATGTAGGTGTAGGAAGATGTATTAAATATACAAACAAATAAATAAATAAATAAAGATAGTGCTCTACTCAACTCATGAAGGTTATTTTTTTAGATTTAGATCATTTCAGAAGCTGATCTCTCTTAAATGTCACTATATTGATTTTGGGGATCTTGTGATTCTTAAGCCCATTTTGAATACGATTCCTAATTTGGAACAACTCTTCGATTTTTTTGAAAATTTTTCCTCAGGTAGATATTTTTACCCGGATTCCGGTAAACTTTTTTGTTCTTGGGAAGGGGCCCGGGAACCGTGACATACCCGGACCCACTTACCCGATTTGAAACTACATATATGTATCGTTTGAAAACTTATGAAAATACCTATCCAAAAAGTAATTACATGATGGAGGATTATTTAAAGCGGTTATAGTTATAGTTATAGTCAAATTATCGATTATTTGGACCAGTTTTTTTTATAAAACTCCCAATAAAATCGAAAAAGGGTTAACAGAATTGATGCCAAATTATAGCTGGCACTCTTGCCCTTCCAAAAATATGTGCTAATACCTACTCTGGGTACTGAGATATGGGTCTTTTCCCCGCATAATCCGATTCTAACAAGTTCATTAAAATTATGTTTTCTGAACCTGAACTTTCAGGTTAAAAATCCGGGTTTATCGCCCAATATATAAAAATACCTACCACTGGAAAAAAAATATCCAAAAGCTTGAAAAGTTTTTACTAAACTACAGGGTGAGATGAAAAAACTGCAACCAACTTCAGACTGCTGTCATTTCGAAGCCACACGTCCGACAGCTGTTAAAATTATTCCAGTGACAGCTCATTATATTATTTACAAGCGTACAAAAGCATTTTGGTGAGAATTTTCCAGAAAAAAAGTTATTCGTCTTGGAATTCAAGCGTGATAGGGTGATTTCTTTATATTTGGCTGGAAAACCACAAGTGGCTATCGTTAGAGCACTCCAGCATTCAAATGTGAATAAATCTTTTGTGTCTCGTATCATCGCTCGTTACCGTAGCCCGACGTCAAGGAAGTGGACGGAAGACTGAAGAAAACAGCAACATCAAGAGAAATGGTTCGAAAAGTAAAGAAGCAACTTGATCGAAACCCGCGTCGCAGTGGCCGAAAAATGGCTCGTGAGCTGAACATATCGCAATATTCCATTCGGCAAATATTGAATAATGAGCTCGGGGTAAAGCCATTGAAATTCCAAAAAGTGTAAGAACTTACACCGCAACGGAGAGAAAATGGACTCAAAAGAGCTAAAGAGTGGCTTCGCTTGGCCGAAAGTGATGAACTGCCGAATTTGGATTTCTCCGATGAAAAATTATTCGTTGTCCAGCAGTTTGTAAACAAATAAGATGATCGTGTTTACTTGCCAAAGTGGTCAGATAAAAATGTGCACCTTCGGTTGGCCACAAGAACTAAAGCGCAGGCCATGGACATTTCAACAGGACCTAGCACTATCGCACTCAACACGCGCCACCCAAGAGTGGTTACAATGACACCAAAATCTCCGGATACCAATCTGTTGGTCTATCGTGTCTGGAGTATTTTGGAAAACAAGGTTGGCACTAAAAAATACCAATGTGGCGATCACCTCATGCAAGCGCTTCGTCAGGAATGGGCCAAAATACCGCAGAGCAACATTCGGACAGCGTGTGACGGTTTCATTGGCCGTGTGAAGGCCAGAATTCGTGCCAAAGTGACCAATTCGAACAAATCTAAAGTTATTCTAAAATTGGATGTTATTTCTGACACATTTTGCTTTCATTCAAAATAAAAAAAAATGTAAAAATTATGGCGTTAGACTTTTTTGTAGTTTGTTTTTATCTCACCCTGTATATATTATTTACCACAATTTGGTGTAGGGTATAAAAGTCACGTATTTGATGAAAAAGAAAACGAAGAGGGCATCCGATTTAGCAATAATTTCTCTTATTGTAATGTTCATGTTTATATCTTTACTTAAAAAATGGGGAAGATCAGCCCACTCTCTTTTTATACCACCCCGATTTTCTTCAATATTTTTGACAATCTTGGAGAACTGCAAAATCTTGCCAAGTGCGAAAATATCTGTAGATATTTCTGTTACAACGTATAAAATGTAAAAAATTGCAAATTCCAGTATTTTTGCCAACCAATGTCCAAACGTCCAAATGTGGTACTTCGTAATATTTATACGTGAGACTTAAGTCAGATACGAAATGGACCACTCCTTCGGAATCTGCCCCATAAAAGATCAAATCAATAAAAATGTAATAAAACAGACATTGATAATTTGCATCTGTGCGTAAAACCGACTGAATTGTTTATACGTTTTACAGGGAAACTTATTTTTTTCCTGGTCAGCTTCCTCCTCAATGGGTTTCGATATACATTTCTAGGTACATCACTGGGAATATCAATTTAAAATTTTGAAATGATTTTTTTAATTATTTTCTTTATTGGTGTTTTCGACTTTTCTTTATCTATAAATTATATTAGTTATGTTAAGCGGTACCATCAAGTTGTGGATCCCTCCGAAAAAAATTTCAGTGTACCCATAAATTTGTATATTTTTTTTTTTCGTTGAGGTACACTCGTTCGTTTTGCATGGAACACAATCTTACCAAGTGTAACAGAGTCGTGTGTACGAGTGTTTGTTTATAGGTACACCATTAGGGACTGTATGCATATACATTTGTATATGTACCTACCACCTACCCACCACCACCAATATACAAACATATTTGTGGAGCAAAATCATGGAGCGTTGGTGGGGAGGGGCAGGGAGGTTAAGGGTAATGGCAATTTGGAAACTACTTCAGAGCATAACACAGAGTGCTGAACAATTTGTCGTAGACCAAACCGATGTAGATTGAGGCAAAGATACAATACGATTTTTTTTGCATGTTGCCTGAGTGACAGACTGTCGTTCGCACTGATTGACATGATGGGCTGACTGCCAGTGTGAATAAAGAAACAACAAGATTGCCAGTCAACATTTACCAAACAACCAAAGATGTGGGGAGTCAACTCCCCACCCTCCTCCGCCTGAAACAAAAAATATGAATTTCTGTTGTCGTTGGTTTTTTTGTTGCTGTTTTGTGATTGCAGCACCCAGCCTCTCCCACTGACAGAACCCCCCTTGAAATGTGCGCTTGTGTGTACGGTAACTGTTACGTGTAGCTTATGTATGGGGGAGTGGTTTCGGTTATACGCTGGCATCCTCGCAACACCGATGTGATGTAGGTATCAAAAGTATTCGCAACTAAAAACACAACAGACACACAGCCACACACGCACATGCATTCGCTTAGTTAAGGTTTTTTGTTGGAGAACACCAACAAAACACACATCTCGAGTTCCATGTTCCTTCCATTAGATGTGAAAGATCCACACATATCAAGCTATCTCTGTTTATCTTTTGTTAAAATCAAACTTCTCTATTCTCGGTTATGGCAAAAACAAGCAAAAGAGAAAGGGAGAGAAAAAGAGCATGTGCCCCGTTAATAGACAGAGTATCTCTTTCTCTCTTACTAAAACATGGTTTGTTTATATTTTGCCTTGTTGTTGCATTCATTCTCCCCTACAACAGTGTCTCGTTTATGTTCGTTGCTACTCGTCTAAACGAAAAAAAAATAACAACGACAACAAACCTGGAACAACAACGCCAAACGGTCGATGACGACAACGAACCCAACGGACGGGTGTACCAACAAAACAAAAAACAGAAACAGAGCCACCACCACCACTGCCCATTGCTCGCTCGCTCACTCACTCACTCGTTGACTGGCTGTGCTGCTCTGCTTTTTATGCTTTGGCGTGTTCCGTCGTGTCTGTGGCAAAAGGCATTTCGGCCATAGAACAGAGCAATCAGTTCCAAAGTAACGTTCGTTCGAATCCGTAGTGTGTGTCTTGTGAATCTGTGTCGTTGTCAGCCGCTGGCCGTTTTTGTGCTTCATTACTAGACAAGTAGATTCAGACCAGCCAGCAAGCATTGATACCGCCGTCGTTCACGCAGTCCGTCGCCGTCGCTGCATGAATTCTCTCGTACGCCTCCGAAAAATAGAAAAATCAAGAAAAACAAACAAAAATCGAAAAGCCGAGACAAATTTCTATGGTTTACTTTGAGTTTTAATTACATTTGAAGAATTTTGGCTAAAGCGAGTCTTCTTCTTCTACTGCTGGCCAAAACTGAAAGAAAATACTTAACCAACAACAAAACAAACAAATAAACCTCTAAACAGTGCAAAATCAAATCAAAGCAAAAGTGCGAATGAAATAAACAAGTTTAGTCTACAGTACTTCAGTTCTGTAGCTCTGTGTTGTCATTAAGGCCACCATTCGCGCCATATCTCCGGGAAAAATATTGCCGCCGTGCTTGGTTTCCCCAAAAAGAAAGAATAACCCAAAAAATAATTAAAAATAAATTTGTACAAAAAGGAATACACAATTGAAACCCTACAAAAATAGAAAAAAAAACTAAAAAAATCAATACAATTTTTGTACAGTCTTGGAAAAAAACAACAAAACGAGTGACGTTATCCGCCTTTGTTTTCATTTTGGATACCCACCGAAAATTACGAAATTAGCCACAAAGAAAAACAAATAGATAGATTTTGTAAAGTGTGAATTTCAAAAAGTGTTTGTATTTGGAGCTCCAACTTATTGCCTGCCCCTTGCTTATCACCAACTTTAATTGGAATATTCTTTTAAATAACAAGCTTTCCCAGGCACTATTTTCATAGTGCTCAAAAGCTTAATTGGTAAGTTCACATGAAGACAAGAAAAATAAAAGAAATACATATTTTGAAAAAATCTGCTATATAAGTGATTGTATTTAAAATGAAGATAAATTCTAAAAGCCGCCGCTAAAACTTGTTTGAGCTTTAGAAATTGCTGTGTCAAATTTTTGCTGTTACTTGGGATATTATTCTAATAAAAAAAATAAAATAAGCCGTTTGAAACTGTGGCGCCCAAATGAAAATTGTTCTAATATCGATGATCGTTGGGGTTCTCACATGTCATCCATTGTGTTTATATGAAATTAAAATCTGAAATTTGAATTGAGGGCAGTTTTACAATTGAACGAAAAAAAAAATACTTAAAATAATAATTTGGCCATGAAAACATATAAACAAACAAATTTTCGAATAGTGAAGCTTTGGCCATCCGGGAATTTATAAAGGTATGGCAAATGCCTTTCGATTTGAAATTAGCTGATACAAAATTAATCCAAAAGAAAATGCCAATTATTACTGGGATAAAATTGTTAGCTTATTGCGTTGAGGCTTAACCTTCCCTTTTAGTTTATTATTTCTTTCGGCATCATATTCGACCTAAAGTTACGCAGTTTAAGGCAGGCATCTTAGGATTACTAAAGTTCTCCTTGTACGTTTCTTGTTATTTTCTGTCAACAGCAGGGAATTAATTGTCAAGTTTCGAAGTCCCAAGCCTTTTGTTTCAATCCGTCACCTATGGCAAGGAAGACGTTATAAGAACGTTTTTGTTTTAGATTTTCTGAGGAACATTTGTCAAAAAATAGGGCCTTTTACAGTTAAATAATTTCGAGGCTAGATGGGAGTGGATTGTGAAATGCAAATATAATTTTCATAGAATCTGAGCTTTAAGACAAAGTTATACGTAGGAATTTTTCGATCTTACATAAAACAATTCAAAACAGGTATGAAAGCTCTGTCAATATATCTCTTCTTATTTGGCGCCCAAGCACAAGGAACGTGCTTTCAATTTGGATAGTAAATATTTACAACTGACTATCAAAAGTTAATTTCAACTTTCAATTTCATTTGCTTAACTAGCAGTACAATTCAAAAAATTAGTAAAAAAAAATAAATATTTTGAAATTTGGCGCCCAAGCCAAGATACTTGATCGGCATAAGATGGAAAATGGTATAGAACTTTTTATTTGATTTGTTAAAAGTTAATGATAATCAAAAGTTAATTTCGATTTTTCAATTCCATTTGCTTAACTAATAATTCAATTCGGGAAATTATTAAAAATAATTAAAAGCATTTAAAAATTTGGCGCCCAAGCTAACATACCTCATCGGCATAAGATGAATAATGGGATAGGCCTTTTTATTGCTTTTCTTCTAGGAAAAGTAGTACACTTTCACCATTTTCCTTCTTTACATTTGATTCGTTCCCGCAAATATTTTTGTCCCCATTCACAAGTGTAATTTTTGGTTCAAAGGAAAGAGAATTATTACCAGGGAAGGGACTAGAATCAAGTATATTTCACTTTTCTTCTTTGGCTCAAAGGAAGGAGAATTTTTACCAAGGATCAAGAAGATTTCACTTTTCTTTGATCCTCTTTGATCGAAAATTGTTTCGCGACACAGGATGTCAATAGGAAAAAATAAAAATTGCATAGATCTTACTATTTGTGTCTCTCGTTTAACTCTTTCTCTTTCTTTCGAATTTGAATAAAATAAGGTTCGAGGCATATAATACATATTCAATAAGAAAAACTAAGGAATTTCCCGATTTTTGATTTATATTCCGAATGATATCCTTTTTGCTTTTCTCCACACCAAAAAATTAAGTTATGGTTAAGATAAAATATAACTACATTAATGAAAAGGAATTAAAAGTAAAAAAGGCGTAGGATCTAGATCCGATGATACCATTTAATGAATAGTTCCTTGAACTACTTTCCTCGGGAAGGAATCATGTCTAATATATGTTGACGCATAACATGGTATTAATTTCCTCTAGCCGCCAAATAAGTCACAGCTTCCTGAGAAAAATTTTTCTGAAAATGCATATTTTGAAACATTCACATTTTTATTTTTATAATTATTTTGGGAAACGTCTTGAATATTGTCATTATCGAATATGCAGGAAAGCCTTTGCCCTTTCTCTACTCAACAAAATTAATAAAGAATCATAAACCGAATCAAAGTTTACGGTGAAATTAAAGAAATGGGGTAAAATAACATAATTAGATGAACTAAAGGAACTCGATGAATGACAGAACTGAAAATAGTTCTCATAGTTTTATTAACGGAACAGGGGCGACAAAAGTGAAAAATATTTTGAAATATAACTTTACTTTTGGATTAATTTTACTTATCCCCCAAATAACGTACAGTTTCAATTGCTGCTCTACACGTTATACAGATCTGTACATTGAAAAACAAAACAGGCTTTCGGATGTTTTTGTGAATGTTGGGCTTTTTGTCGGTTTTTCTGATGTCCTTAAAATGGTCAACTTTTATTTTTTAACAACATTTCAATATTTTAATAGAAAAAGTGGGACTAAGTACTTTTTGGCCGCCGAATACATAAGTGTTTAATTCACATATTTGAGACTAATCTATCCTTGTCTAATTTTGAATAAAAATCAAAGGGAAAAATAACGTAATAAAACGAAGAAAATACGCCGCAATCATCAGACTTGTCTGCCAAAAGTCTAACAATTTTGTTTTTGGGATTTGACCAAAATCTTCGTTTAAGTTTTGTTTAAAAAAAAAGTCAGAAAAATTTTAATCAACAAAGTACTTTATAAACTTACTATTTACTGATTATTTGGAAAAAAAAAATATCATAGCTTTCTTAGAGATGTCTGCTTCAAAAAAAGAATATTTTACGAGATTTAAAAACTTTTACTTTCCATACAAATCTTATTTAGAAATAAACTCGTTATTAAAGAAGGTTTCAATTAGTATTTCATCGAAGCAAATTTTTATATTTTTTCGTCGTAAAATCTTTAACTTAAAGGCATGATTCACAAATATTCCCTTACAAACATGGCAATGAAATACCACCAAAATTTCATGTAAATTCACCGAACTTGGAATTATATTTCATACCTATATCCAATACAACATTTCAAACCCTTTCCATGAGAATCAGTCAAAACAATTGATCACATTTTACCGCACAAATCTATTACTATTTAACCCATTTTCACAAAAAGTACCTCAAAATCTATTCGTTTATAGATTTACGACAAAACCAATATTTAATAAACATGTGCATTTCTCTCCAAAAACCGAAACCCATTACCGGAAAGTCTTTGTCATTTTCAAAACAAAAACAGTGGAGCAAAAGCAAAAAGCAGCAACAGCACAGCTGGACATCTTACACAGCCCTCGGTGATGTCACTCTTAATGATCCGAAGAAGAAAGAAGAGCGTGTGAAAACACAAATAAAACTACTCGTTTTCAACAGGAAATTCTTTAACGAAACAACGAGAAAGAAAAATATATGATTCGAACCTAAAAAAAAAACAAATATAACAAAACCGGCAATCAGGCAACCTTGAGGCAGTGAAATTTAGTTCATTTAGGAGAGAGATAGTGAGAAGAAAACCAGAAAATTAAGATCACAAGCGATATTTTGGCTAGATCACAGCTAGATTCAAAAAAGATAACCGACACATTATTCACACTTGGATCGATCGATTCAACTCCCCACAAAATTATGAGCCCAGAAAAATCACACACTTTCTTCGCTCGAACCCTGGGAGTTGCTCGCTGTCTGGAGATCATGTCCCGTTTTTTTTCTTGTCGTTCCAAGAATCCCAATCCCATATGCTGCCCTCCAATGCGGAGCAATAAATTATAATGATGTTGCGCTGCCCAAGTTATTATTACTTATTAATCAGAAGCACATTTACATATTCAAATTGAATAAATTAAAATTCGACGCAGAGAGTATAAAGTTTGTTTTGGGGGTTTCCTAAAAAAACTATCGAACTACACAGCGTTGTTTGGTTGTTGCTGTTGTTGTGCCACAAAATGCTGGCTAGCTTTGTGGAGATGTTAACAAAAAAACAAGTTTCCATTTTTCCATTTGAATACATTTATGAAAAATGAGTGGTTATGGAGAACAAACAATAAAACATTTATTGATTAAATGCTCATTCGATCGGTCGACCGCTCCGTAGTTCGGTTCACTCACCATCGCTCTACTGCAGCCAGTTTCTCCGTTTAACCGCATACTTTTTTGAATTCGTTTGTTGTTTTATTTTTTCCGATTTTTTGTTTTGGAGGCTGGAATATTGGAATTCTTAATTACCTTATTATTTCATAATTTTAATCAAAATACATTTATAATATTTTTATGTGAAGTGGTGTTGTTGTTGTTTTTGTTTTCACATGAGCAAAACCCAAAATGTTAAAAATAAACAACAACGAAAATTGAAACGAAACTAAATATTTACACTGTTATACAGAAGCGAAATGTTTTAACTGTGGTTGGATGGAAAATGTGAGAGTTAGAAACGACATTTTCCTACTTTCAAATAATTTTTACACAGAATTTCGAAAGGAAGATATAATTTTCAAAACTTGAAATATAAAAAACCATAAGAAAAATAATCAAAAGAAACGTAAAAGATGTAAAGAAAACTAAGATTGAAAATTAATTTCGGTATAATTTTCCGAATTTATGGAAATTTGAATCTTTATTCTGATGAAACTTCTCTAAAATAATGAACTTTTTTATAGGCCCTTTTCAAATTACTGAATTTTTCTCTTTCCCTCAGGTGCCTCCAAGATTTGTTTCTACCCATTTTGCCGTCTTTAGAAGTTATTCCCCATAAAATCATTCAAAAGGAGTTAAATTAGGTATTTGGGAAAAGTTTAAATACTCTCTCATCCATACTGTAAATTATTAGTCACTATTTTAAGAACTTGTTACCTTTATTTTGTGGCACACGACGAGACGCATCCAACAACTTCGGCTACAGGAGTTTTTGACTCCTACGATAGTTTAAAAATTTTGTCCATTACAAATC